AACAGTAACGGTCCTAAGATTGAGCCTTGAGGAACTCCACATTTTATTATACTTTTTGTCGTTTTAACATTTTCATATTGAATGTATTGCTGTCTGTTTGATAAGTAATCTTTAAACCATAGTAAATTATTATTTTTTATTCCATAATGTTCAAGTTTTTTTAAAAGAATGACATGGTTGACTGTGTCAAAGGCTTTAGACAGATCAATAAATACTCCTAATGTAAAATGGTCATCATTAAAGGCATTGGTTACATGAGTTACTAACTCGGTCAAAGCGTGATCAGTTGAATGATTTTTTTTAAAGCCAAATTGCTTGTTGTACAACATGTTATTTACTGTTAAGTAGCTGTTTAGCCTATTATACATTATACGCTCGAGTAGCTTAGAAAAGCATGGTAAAACTGATATTGGTCTATAATTTGAAGAATCTGTGTCATCGCCAGACTTAAAAATAGGCAAGACCCGTGCAATTTTTAATTTTTCTGGAACTGTTCCAGTTTGAAGAGAAAGATTAAAAATGTGATATAAAGGAGTTTCTATAATATGAAAAACTGATTTAACAACATTTATGCTTATATTATCAAAACCTACACTTGTGTTGTTTTTAAGATTATCTAGAGCATATCGTAACTCATTAATATCTAGTTTAGATTCGTCCATGACCTTATCATATATTTTTAAATAAGAATCAAACGATGATGAGCCTGAAGGAATTTTTTCAGCTAAGTTTGGACCAATATTAAGAAAGAAGCTGTTTAGATTTTCAGCTACTATTGACTTGTCATATATAATTTTACCATCTACTAAGAGTTTCTTTGGTTGAATACTTATTCGATTATTTTTTCTGCTAATAATTTCTTTAATTACGCTCCACGTACTTTTGGCATTTCCGTTAGTTTTTTTTAACAACTTTGAATAGTAAATTTTTTTTGATTGTTGTTTAGTTTTTTCAAATATATTTTTATAAAGTTTGTAGTTTGTCTTATAAAGTTTGTAGTTTGTCTTTTTATAAAGTTTGTAGTTTGTCTAGAATAAAGCGTTTCAAATGAAGAGGAAAAAAAAGTAAACTTATTTTTGTCAAAAAAAAATTTGACAAAGAACTGACTTCGCTAACGAATTAAAAAAGTAGTTCACAAAATTTCAAAATTTTGTTTTTTTTTGTGAAGTCCTTAAACACTTAGTTTCCAACTTTTTTGACATATTCCAAGTCTATTTGAGAAAAAAATTTTGCTGATCAAACAAAAACAGAAATTCAGCTTTTTTGTATTTGATAAATATTGCCGTGGTACAAAGTGCCAACCAAGGTTTTTCAAACAAAATGCCAATCAAGTTTTACTTCCACGTGGTTTTATAATCCACTACGAGGCTTAATTAAATGCTTAAAAAAAAGTAAAATTTAAAGTTTTTTTAAAAAAATAATTTTTTACAATTGTTTTCTTACATCTTTTTAATCCTTGACATTTGGATTGAGATTTATTGCATTAATATTTACATGGTCATATTATTTTTGTTAGATTATTAGATTTTTTTTTTAGATTTTATAAATATTACTCAAAATCATGTCAGGTAGCATTTGTTTTTTATTTTCTGTTTAGTTAATTTTAATTTGAAATTGTTTCCCAGTGGGCACACGACGGAAAAAAGACGTCTTATGTACGTTCAGTTCACGTCCGCTCGATTTATTCACAATATGAACTACACCTTTTCAAGATGTAATTGAGAAAACAAAAATTGTAATTAAGAATCGTAAGATGTAATTGAGAAAACAAAAGTTGTAATTAAGAAACGTAACATGTAATTGAGAAAACGTAAGTTGTAATTAAGAAACATAAGATGTAATTTAGAAAACGAAAATTGTAATTAAGAATCGTAACATGTAATTGAGAAAATGTAAGTTGTAATTAAGAAATAGAAAGATGTAATTGAGAACACGAAAATTTTAATTTAAATATCGCTTTAAAAGAGTAAGTGTAAAATGGCGCTTAAAAAAAATAGCGCGTAAAAAAATGGAGCGTATAAAATGACGCACTTAAAAATGACGCAAGATTTGTAGCGTAAATTTAATTTTTTAGGGAAAAATTTATAATTTTTGGGCAAATGAATTTAACATAATAAACACTAAAAACATTTAAGGGAAAAATTTATAATTCAATTAAAAATTATAATTAAAAATTATATAATTAAAAATCACTTCATCGATCATTTAAGCACCAACTTGTAAGTCTTCCATATTTAAAATAGTTGCATAGTGCGTGGTTGTGTGTTGTACCGCACGTGCACAATCTCCTCCCATTATAGTATTTTTCGCCTCAATTACAATTCGTTCTAAGTACTGCATGCGCTGTTCCGCAATCCCGTCACCTAATACAGGTGGAATGCGAATTGCATTTTTAACGTTACTTTTAATTTTGGACCAGATCGTTTCCACCGGGTTCAACATTGGACTGTAAGGTCCCAAACGTAACAACTGAGCTGGTGAATTATCAAACACCCTTTGCAAACGAGCGTGACAAGGAGCATTAGCTGTTACGACGACCAAATCCTCCAAACGATTCCCGGATGTAACCCACTGGTGAAACATAGCCAACATCCACTCGTTACAGGAATCTGCTTTAAATGATCCCCTGCGAGTTTCTATCATGACGACATTTGTAGTTGAAATAGCTGCGATCAAGTGTATGTTTAAACCTTTTGAAGCAGGTACTTTCATAATTCCTCTTTTTCCTTGCGTTTTTCTACAAAAAAGGTTAAAATTTGTTTCATCCAACCAAACTATCTGACGACCATTTGTGATATGTTCGTTGATGTTTCTAACATATGCAGCTCTTTTTTGTTTGTTTTCATAACTGTTCATTGTAGAAGGCTCCTTGTGCACTTTTTTTAATGAGAACAATCTGCCTTCGAGGTAATTTGCTATTGTTGTTGTGCTAACGTTTATGTTAAATTGTCTTAATATCTTTGTTTTAATGGCCACCAATGTTAATTGACAATCATTTTTAATCCATGTTAATGTTTCTTCAATTTGATCTTCGGTCAACTTTTTCGGTTTAAAACCTCCTTTTCCGATGAAATTTGAATTTCCGCTGCGAACCCAATTGTATGCTGTCTTATATTTGATACCTAGCGTTTGCGCGAGATTCACCCAATCTTCAAATCGCTCCGCACATTCAACAACTCTTCTCCTGTCATTTGGAGAAGATAAAACGTAACGTTTCCTTTCAACTTGTTCAGTTGTGTGTATTTCATGCCGACAAATCGGACAACTTGAATCTGGTTGTTCCAGAACTGGACGTAAACAAATTTGGTGACATAAATGTTGACACGGATTTAGCTTAATCACAGACTTTCGGGTCATAGTGTATTGGCATATAACACAACGATCTTTCAATTCCATTATTATTACTTGTGCATACAAAAGCAAAATTTAAGATTATAACTTAAATTCATGTCCAAAAAGACCTTTTGTAACAACCTACAAACTTAGACTGTGAATTTGCTATTTTAATTAATGTGTTCTCAATTACAAGTTACGATTTCTCAATTAAATATTATGATTTCTCAATTATATCTTACGTTTTCTCAATTACATGTTGTGTTTCTTAATTACATGTTACGACTTCTTATTTACATGTTGTGTTTCTCAATTACATATAACGTTTTCTCAATTACATTACGATTTCTTAAATACAACTTTCATTCAATAAATTTCATCAAATAATATTACGACTTCTTAAATACAACTTTCATGTTCTCATTTACATCTTGAAAAGGTGTATAATAAAACGTCTTATGAACGTCTTTTTCTCGTCCGTTCCGAAATTAAGAAAATCTATCACTTTCAGTTTTGAAAAACCTTTTTATTATGTCTAATGACGCGAATGTCATTATTAAAAGGTGTTTTAATAATGGCGCCATTATTATAAGGTGTTTTAATAATGGCGATTCTCGTATGAAAAGTCACAATTACTTTTTAGATAATTGTTAGATAACATATGTGTTTTATATTTATATATGTATATAGATAAATAAAATATACTAAGATTGTTTTTTTTTTTACTTTATATATCATTAAATTTCTTTATTTTTATAAACTTTATATTTTTTATGTCATATTAGATACATATAAAAATAATGAAATTTAGATTAACTAATTTTTTTATTATATTACTGTATAAGTATAAAAGCCTATTTTATTTACTGTCATTTATATTTTAAGTATTATAGTTTTTTTTTTAAACGTAATACTTAAAATATAAATGTCAGGAAATAAAATTATAAAATTAAGATTTTATACTCATACAGTAATAATATAATAAAAATAAGTCAATAAATCTAAATTTGCATTATTTTTATATATATTTAATTTTATTTTCTTTGAAGTTAACAGTCAATAACCTAATCCCTGTTACTATATTATAGATACATGTAACTATATTATCTATCATAATATGATATATATGACAATATGATATATATGAATCGATTCATATATAATATAGTAACATACATATATAATATAGTAACAAGATATGACAGTAAAAAAAATTATATGCGTACTACTAATAATAATGGAAAGTACTTTGAGTTACAGGAAAGTTCGAGTTATCTGAGGTTTGAGATATTGGGAGTTTACTGTATTCTTATGATTATTATTTTTACATTTCATCTACATAGAATTTTGAATTTTATGCTGAGAGTTGCTCTTTTATATATATATATATATATATATATATATATATATATATATATATATATATATATATATATATATATATATATATATATATATATATTAAATTTTAATTTATTATACTTTTGCAACATTTAATAAAAATATGACGATAAAGCTTTATTTATATATCAATGATTTAACATTTAATGCACAAACAAATTAAATAATGCATTTATTAATGTTAGAATATGATTGTTTTATATTTTAATGGTGAAAAAATCAAAATTTTACATGATATTTTTATTAGAAAATTTTATAAGGATTTTTTGAAAAAATAATGACAAAATTGATAGTTTTTCGTAACTTCAAATGTTATAACTTTTCCAATTCTTATCAAAATGTATACAATTAGGTATAAAAACAAAGATATGAAAAAGACAAGGCACCTACAACACCCAGTAATATGTTACGAATGTATATTTGTTAATGAAAGTTTTGTGTTTTTTATTGAAATTCTGGATTTTTATTTTCAATTTTTTATATTCTAACAGACGATCATTAAATATGATAGATAAACAAGTAGAAAAGAATATAGTAATACATAATACTCTCTTCATATGTAATGCTCTCCTTAAGCGTAAATCAAATTGTTTAAACTGGATATGATGATTAAATGTTGTATCGGCATGGTTTTATCTGACTACTTTGCTTTTTCAATTTGGTTGCCAGCTTCAACCTAATTCTTGATTTAGAACTATGATTTTGAACTAAAACATTTCCGTGTTGAATAAAATACTATTTATTCTTAACTGTATTTTTTTTGAGGCTTCAGTTATCAAACGTTGGTGGTAATTTTAGTTATGCCACTGTAAAAGCGTCGATTGTTAAGTATGTGTTTACTTTTTGTATTTTGTTTTGCTATGCAAATAATTTTTAATAATAATTACTTAATTATTAACTAATAAGTTTTGTTTTGTTAAATTACTTATTATTGTTATTGTTTATCTGTATACATTACACTATAGAGTATATGTAAATGCATGTGCAAAAGCATAGGTTGTATTTTATTATGTATTCACATAAGACATTTTCAAGGACATTGTTCAATCTGTAAACTTAATTATTTTTATCCTTATGTCGAATGATAACGTTTTGCCCTTTCCCATCCCTAAATGTGAAGGAAATGAGTTCTGTAAATAACAGTATTTTATTTAATATTAAATTAAATTTCATCAACAGGTTTGTAACTTTATTAGTATTTTAGCTTTCAAATGTTTTGACCATATAGAGGAGGTTGCAAAATGTACATCATCATAACTTTTGAATGCTAATATGTACTCATTCCCCTCATATTCAGATATAGGAGAGCAAAATTTTTTGGGTATTTTAGTTTTCAAGCACCTATGTATTATTTATAACAAATAATAGATTATAATTTATTTTTTTCATTGTCATTCCAGGTAGACATAAAAAGTTTGAAGTATGCACAAAGCCTGAAAGTGTCAAATATGGAACCTAAAAAACCTGCCTTTGCCACTGACTGTATAAAGTGTTTTTAAGGTAGGAGCTTAAATAAATTAACAGAAAAAAAGTATTATAAGTTATACATTTTTATACTAAAATAGAATAAAAATATATATTTGTAGTTTCAGTTTTTATTGTCACAAATATTGAATATTTGTGACACAGAATACAGATATTGATGTCTGTCGTCTTTAATGTCATTAATGCTTTATCTACTGTTTTCTTTTTGTGCATGACCTAATTTCTTTTCATATCCATACTTTTTTAGGTCTGTTTGTCAAGCATCAAGTCAGGTTATCTTGCTACTGGTACCATGTAGTACATCCTGCTTAAGCAGGTTGTACGCCATCCATACGACGTTTGGGCATCTGTTTGTAAAATATTGCTGCAAATCTTTTTGAGAGAGCCATTACTATGGAGAACCATCTAAACCATACAAGTGTGGAAACATGGATGTAAATCTATGTAAACGCATTTGTGATATATAATTGTAGAATGTTATATGTTATAAGTTTGGAAATTATATTCTGCTAAAAAAACTTTTTAAATGTATTTTAGCAGAACATACCTGGCCCACATTTGATCTTTCTTTTTGGACCAAATGCTGGCTGGGTAGTTTGGACTTGTAAATGAACTTATATTCATAATTTTTAAACTGCTTATGATCTGATCTGATTTTATTTTTGTCATTTGTTTATTTAGATTAATGTGAAATAAACTGATGAGTTTATTTAACTTAGCTGGTAAAAAAAAGAGTTTTCGTGAAACAAATTTAATGAAGACAGTTATAGGTATACCTGTTAATGTAATATATTTTGTATTGTATTTTGTATGCTTAGTTTTGACGAATTTTTAAATACTGCAAACTCACACTCGCACAAAAATCAACTGTGAACTCTTATATAATCAGTTGCAAAAGTTGACTTCGAAAATTTTGTATAAGATATTATAGCTTATTTATTAGACTGTGTTTTTAGAATGAAGTTCATTCATTTGCTAGCAACATTTTTAAACGTGGTCCAGATCAAAAAAATTTGGTGCTAGAAATTGTCGATAGTGGTAGTGATAGATGCATCGAACCTAATTTGTAATTAATTTCTGTAAATAAATTTCACTTTACTAATTTTTGTGTTGAATTCTTGTTTTTCTAATGGTATTTGAAATTAATAAGTCTAAAAATTAACGTATAAAAAAACAAGGACCAAATAAGACCTATTTATGGCATTCCATACCTAATGTTTTTCATTATTTCTAAACTGTAACTTAAATTAAACTCAATTCTTAGTCCTATCGGGACGTCTTATTTATGTTCCTCGTAAGGCGTCTTTTTACGTTCCTCTCAGGACGTCTTTTTCACGTTCCTTCTGGGACGTCTTTAAAACGTTCCACGCAGGACGTCTTTCTGTATTTCCAAATCCAACCAATTTAAGACGTCCGATCGGGACGTCTTAAAGACGTCCTAAAGCTGTCCGCGTGCCCACTGGGTTATTATTAGCTGTATCATATTATAAAATGTTTATCTTGCTAAACCTATTAAAAACCTATTTTGCTTATCATTATTTACTAGCTGTCATGACCAGTAAGATACGGGTCTAGCGGATATCGATGCGCACTTTATCCGCGTGCTTACAGCTTTTAAGAGTTCTTATCCGGCTTATTACGAAAGAAAATCTTAATAGAATGAAAACATCTTAAATGATAATTTTTAATGTTTTAGATGCGAACATTAAACTTATCGATTGCGTAAACACTAACTCTAACATAAATAACTCTAACATGAATCGCAATTGCGTGACATTTCTTGCAACTTTTTTAACAATTTAATGGTGACTTTCGAACCCTAAAGGATAGGGGGAGACGCTTATTTTAAGAAAATATTTCTACCCAATCCAAGCTTACTGAGCCACACCAACCCTTGTTTATTAATTTTTACTTATCAGCAAAAAGTCTCCTAAAAAAAGTCTATTGAAAATCGCCTTTTTGCTTTAAATTATTAAAAATAAGAAAATTGTTATTTCAATAAGCGATAAAAACAGAAACTTTCAGGGTAGAATCACCTTTAAAACTCGTCGATCAAGTAAATCTGGATTTGTTAAAAATGAGCTTTATTTCTTACTAAAGTATAAAACTTATATCAGCAATTAAAATCTTATTTAAATTATAAAAAAGATTTTTAAAAATGTTTATTTGACTGTAAGCCACGTTATAACTAAATTGCGTTATGGTGTTTTGTAAAAAGTGTTAGTTTGAATTTAGAAACTGAAATATTTTATAAAAAATACTTGTTACTTAAATATATTCCCACTCCATTTTATATATTATATTTGGACTAAAATTCCTATAGGACCTCTTTTGAAAAAGACTACAGTAAAAAGAGGATTCATTAAACTATATCAAATTTACGAAGCAAAAAAACGCAATTGATTTTATTTGTTCTGTAACGATATTTTCATAAACTCTTAACAAAAAACTGTTTTTAATACGGATCAGTAACTGTGTCAAAAATTTGCAAGCTGAAAAATCAAGGGGAGAGAGAGTTAAGAAACGGCCAAATAAAAACTATCGTTATCGTTGTTGCTTTTTATAGCTACATTACTATGAAGCCAGAATTTCAATGTATAAGTAAATCGAGAAAAAAAGAAATCTTCATTTGACTTATCAAAAATTTCAAATGTTATACCTAAAAGTTTTAAAATTTTTAAAAATGTTTTTATAAACAAATATAAACAACATTTTTTTTGTGAATCTATGTTTGATTTAACTTTAAAGACTTCACAACTTATTGTTCGTTGCAAAATCATTTTACTCATTTGAAATAGCCTGTCTAAAAGAAACAACCACATAGTTATTATTGCAACTTTTGTTAACAATCATTGATAAAATGTATTTCTAAAAAAAAAAAGATAATAACCCAGTGGGCACGCGGACAGCTTTAGGACGTCTTTAAGACGTCCCGATCGGACGTCTTAAATTGGTTGGATTTGGAAATACAGAAAGACGTCCTGCGTGGAACGTTTTAAAGACGTCCCAGAAGGAACGTGAAAAAGACGTCCTGAGAGGAACGTAAAAAGACGCCTTACGAGGAACATAAATAAGACGTCCCGATAGGACTAAGAATTGAGTTTAATTTAAGTTACAGTTTAGAAATAATGAAAAACATTAGGTATGGAATGCCATAAATAGGTCTTATTTGGTCCTTGTTTTTTTATACGTTAATTTTTAGACTTATTAATTTCAAATACCATTAGAAAAACAAGAATTCAACACAAAAATTAGTAAAGTGAAATTTATTTACAGAAATTAATTACAAATTAGGTTCGATGCATCTATCACTACCACTATCGACAATTTCTAGCACCAAATTTTTTTGATCTGGACCACGTTTAAAAATGTTGCTAGCAAATGAATGAACTTCATTCTAAAAACACAGTCTAATAAATAAGCTATAATATCTTATACAAAATTTTCGAAGTCAACTTTTGCAACTGATTATATAAGAGTTCACAGTTGATTTTTGTGCGAGTGTGAGTTTGCAGTATTTAAAAATTCGTCAAAACTAAGCATACAAAATACAATACAAAATATATTACATTAACAGGTATACCTATAACTGTCTTCATTAAATTTGTTTCACGAAAACTCTTTTTTTTACCAGCTAAGTTAAATAAACTCATCAGTTTATTTCACATTAATCTAAATAAACAAATGACAAAAATAAAATCAGATCAGATCATAAGCAGTTTAAAAATTATGAATATAAGTTCATTTACAAGTCCAAACTACCCAGCCAGCATTTGGTCCAAAAAGAAAGATCAAATGTGGGCCAGGTATGTTCTGCTAAAATACATTTAAAAAGTTTTTTTAGCAGAATATAATTTCCAAACTTATAACATATAACATTCTACAATTATATATCACAAATGCGTTTACATAGATTTACATCCATGTTTCCACACTTGTATGGTTTAGATGGTTCTCCATAGTAATGGCTCTCTCAAAAAGATTTGCAGCAATATTTTACAAACAGATGCCCAAACGTCGTATGGATGGCGTACAACCTGCTTAAGCAGGATGTACTACATGGTACCAGTAGCAAGATAACCTGACTTGATGCTTGACAAACAGACCTAAAAAAGTATGGATATGAAAAGAAATTAGGTCATGCACAAAAAGAAAACAGTAGATAAAGCATTAATGACATTAAAGACGACAGACATCAATATCTGTATTCTGTGTCACAAATATTCAATATTTGTGACAATAAAAACTGAAACTACAAATATATATTTTTATTCTATTTTAGTATAAAAATGTATAACTTATAATACTTTTTTTCTGTTAATTTATTTAAGCTCCTACCTTAAAAACACTTTATACAGTCAGTGGCAAAGGCAGGTTTTTTAGGTTCCATATTTGACACTTTCAGGCTTTGTGCATACTTCAAACTTTTTATGTCTACCTGGAATGACAATGAAAAAAATAAATTATAATCTATTATTTGTTATAAATAATACATAGGTGCTTGAAAACTAAAATACCCAAAAAATTTTGCTCTCCTATATCTGAATATGAGGGGAATGAGTACATATTAGCATTCAAAAGTTATGATGATGTACATTTTGCAACCTCCTCTATATGGTCAAAACATTTGAAAGCTAAAATACTAATAAAGTTACAAACCTGTTGATGAAATTTAATTTAATATTAAATAAAATACTGTTATTTACAGAACTCATTTCCTTCACATTTAGGGATGGGAAAGGGCAAAACGTTATCATTCGACATAAGGATAAAAATAATTAAGTTTACAGATTGAACAATGTCCTTGAAAATGTCTTATGTGAATACATAATAAAATACAACCTATGCTTTTGCACATGCATTTACATATACTCTATAGTGTAATGTATACAGATAAACAATAACAATAATAAGTAATTTAACAAAACAAAACTTATTAGTTAATAATTAAGTAATTATTATTAAAAATTATTTGCATAGCAAAACAAAATACAAAAAGTAAACACATACTTAACAATCGACGCTTTTACAGTGGCATAACTAAAATTACCACCAACGTTTGATAACTGAAGCCTCAAAAAAAATACAGTTAAGAATAAATAGTATTTTATTCAACACGGAAATGTTTTAGTTCAAAATCATAGTTCTAAATCAAGAATTAGGTTGAAGCTGGCAACCAAATTGAAAAAGCAAAGTAGTCAGATAAAACCATGCCGATACAACATTTAATCATCATATCCAGTTTAAACAATTTGATTTACGCTTAAGGAGAGCATTACATATGAAGAGAGTATTATGTATTACTATATTCTTTTCTACTTGTTTATCTATCATATTTAATGATCGTCTGTTAGAATATAAAAAATTGAAAATAAAAATCCAGAATTTCAATAAAAAACACAAAACTTTCATTAACAAATATACATTCGTAACATATTACTGGGTGTTGTAGGTGCCTTGTCTTTTTCATATCTTTGTTTTTATACCTAATTGTATACATTTTGATAAGAATTGGAAAAGTTATAACATTTGAAGTTACGAAAAACTATCAATTTTGTCATTATTTTTTCAAAAAATCCTTATAAAATTTTCTAATAAAAATATCATGTAAAATTTTGATTTTTTCACCATTAAAATATAAAACAATCATATTCTAACATTAATAAATGCATTATTTAATTTGTTTGTGCATTAAATGTTAAATCATTGATATATAAATAAAGCTTTATCGTCATATTTTTATTAAATGTTGCAAAAGTATAATAAATTAAAATTTAATATATATATATATATATATATATATATATATATATATATATATATATATATATATATATATATATAAAAGAGCAACTCTCAGCATAAAATTCAAAATTCTATGTAGATGAAATGTAAAAATAATAATCATAAGAATACAGTAAACTCCCAATATCTCAAACCTCAGATAACTCGAACTTTCCTGTAACTCAAAGTACTTTCCATTATTATTAGTAGTACGCATATAATTTTTTTTACTGTCATATCTTGTTACTATATTATATATGTATGTTACTATATTATATATGAATCGATTCATATATATCATATTGTCATATATATCAT